TGATTTCAAGACATCGTCATAAAGCATTGTCATGACTTGACAATCACGTAATATGATTGATAAAGTTGACGAAACTATTAACAAATCGGTCATATAGTTGACTTATAATTATCACTAAGTAGTGTTGTTTTTCTTTTCATTCACTACGGATGATTACAGTATGTTTATCAGTTGCTCATTCAGTAAATATCTCAAAACCTTGTCAGTCTAATTGGAGGTTTAGCGACACAATCATGCATGCAAATCATCAGTATAAGCAGTCGAGCAAATCTCCTGCAAACTGAAAACATCAATGTCGAATTTACCCCGACACTGACTAAGGTTCAGGCCATTATCATAGACATGAGTTGGGAGTGTACTCCCCTTGGTTACAACTTATGTTCTCCCTGGTAATCACATGAGCATCGCTCACTGTTAATCATCTTGTAAAAACTTATTTAGACGAATACATCTTGCAGCAGCACATCACCTAGAAATGTAGCACACAGGCCTAACTGATTTCAATTACTTATAATCACTATGTCTCAATGAGACAGCATTCCGTCTTATACTAAACTGGCACTTGCAACTAACTTGTATGTACCATCAGCCGATAGGTATGAATATAAATAAATAGTCTATGGCAAATCAGAACATTGAGTCTAGAGCATATCTCTAACGGATACACTCATGTTTAACGAATCGCTCTTAGCTATCTGTCCAAAATCCACATAATTGTTACATTTCACGTAAAAATTTTTGATAACAATTCATATGTATTAGTTGTATTACTAAATTCTATCACGGTCAAGTACAGACGAGGTCGAGAAAATCTACCCATATCTAAATAAACCGTATCAAACTAACTGGAACACTAGTTGGAATTCTTCTCCGCGCTTATACTTTTGTTCTTTCAGTTAGCCTACTAATACAGATGCAATTGGAAATCAACGCATGGACAACTTACCGGCACATACGTTTTTTGATTTCATAATTTAGACCAAATAAATTACCAGTTTTAACATTTCCACAATATTGATTGTTTTTTAATATTTCTAAACAGGAAATGTTATTAACGTACGGCTATTACTAACTATCTTACGGCGACTTATTAAAATATCCCTATACGGAGTCATTTGATTATAATTATAATCCCGCTTTGTTTAGCTCAAATAATCTCCGCCCAAATTTTCATTTTAAGCGTGTTAAGTATTAAACCAAAAACTTTAAAATAATTACGTGTGTTTCCCGACCAGATGCTGCTGCCTTCTTTTTGATTTATCTTTCAGTTTATCAATATCCGGATGATTCTTATTATTCTTTCTAACCTCCGGCGCGAGACAATTCCACACAATTTGGTATCGAACCAACGTCACGTTGATTCTGGTGGGAGAGTAGTGTAGTGGCATTGGGCCCTACCACGAGACAATATGAGAAATAGACATTAAACATTTAACGCGGAGAAATACAGAAGAATGGAGAAGGCGGGAATAGTAAATTGAATTAGTCCGAGTTCATCGGATGGCATGGCTCGGCCTTGCAGGCGTGGTCCCAGCTGAATGTTATCTTGTATCTTCTATTCATATAAAATATATTCTATCTCTAGCCTAAGCTTGTTCTCTATCACGTATTGGTAATTGTCACAATGCAATGAGTTGGTGTAGACGATGCTGTAACTTCCACGTAAGATCTTATAGATTAGGCAGTTACATCAAGATAAATCTACAATTTTAGGATTAGGTCTACTATAAGAGCAGTGCTAATATCATAATAGACCGTAATTCTAAAAGTCCATCGTGAAACAAACGATTAAACTTCATTTACAGTATCAAATTTAATAATTAAATGAAATAGCACCTAACAGTATGTACCTATATATGTCTTACTTGTCGTAAGCAGTGCTCTTCATTATCTAACCCTTCCAAAATTTCACCCAGTCATTTGGTATCAACAAAAAAACTGGTAAGCACCTGATGTGAACCGGGAAACAAGAAGCCCTGACAAACTACGAAGGCTATTTTTCGGAACGTTATTTCATTTTATTCAAAGCTTGTAAAACACTGACATTTATTTTTGTCCCCAATCTATTCTACAGAACATAAGCTTTCGTTTGATATATCATTCACTGCCATACCTTTTTCTGTTCCGAAACTATTGTAATTTAAACATATTATTTTGCAACCTATTTTCTACTCTAATTCCCAGCTTTGGACATAATTGTATTTTTCCTAATTATTGTACGTTGCGGTCGGGTTATTCACTTATTTATTCATGTACCTTTTTACACTAATCTGAATTCAGTAAATCCAGTGAGTTCAGTGGTCAGGGAAACAGATCGAGTAGTGTTCCAGTTGTCTTGTCTTCTCTCATTCGTGTGCTTGCCCACCAATCAGGTGACAGAATAGTTTTCTTCTCTCTACCACATCTAGAACTCACGCGTACTAGTCTCAAGGTTAAGCTGATCAGCCTATCGCATCAAGGTCGAAATCTAGATTAGACAAGTATCCTCGGCACCAAAAAGTGGGTAGACAAATCAAGGTCATAACAGCACCGTTTAGATATTACTCGTCAACATGCATTAAAACTTTGTTTATAATTTGGTCAGTGACTGCGGATTCTGTTTACAGAAATTCATTCGTAAACCCTATAAGCGACACATCATAAATTAGTATTAACTGCTACACTGTTTAGTTACCATGATGAAAACAAACGCGCATCGCTTTACTTATGAAGAATATGTGACTAATTAATGTGGCACTTACAGTAATATTATACACAGTTCCTGTATATGTTCATAAAGCGATCAGAAAAGGCTATCAACGTCAACTGTTACTCATATAACTTCTCTCAGATACGTTACATAATAATATGTAAGTTTAGTTGAAAACGATTATACTTCTAATGGATAGAACAGCGAGACTATAATTCATGGACGAATCAATCAGGTATAACATAACAGGTCTCAGATTTTGGCGCTAAATTCAGTCTTAGCATCGTGACTGATGTCAGTTCGTGATGAAAACCCCAAATCCAATTCCTAACATTAAACATCAACTGGAAATCATAATTCAAATTCCTCACATTGGTTTATAACCCTTATTTCGTCCTAGTGATCAGGTGGACACTCCCAAGGTCAGTCTGGCGTCGCTCAAAGGTCGTCCATAAATTATAGTCTCACCGCTCGGGTTTGCATTGTTACAAATAACCACATTAGGCTGACTAAAGTTGTAAATAAAAACAATAACTCAAACAACTATCTTTCATTCAGAGATGATCATGATCATCTAACGGTAGTCTAAATGAAGGTATCGTGATGCAACGTGCTAACTGTCATCTCCTAAACTCAGGTGAAGGAAACTCGAAAGGATTATCCGAATTTGTAATGTAGAGGTTCATTATGTTATCCAGAACGACAGTGAATGTATACGCTATCAGTCCTGAAGATGGATCTGTTATAAGTAGATGTGAATTTTGTGAACTAGCCTACACCGAAGTAGTCAATGACTAGCCAGGTAAAGCAAAATTTTCGTTGGCTTGACAATGTGAGAGATCAAAGGGACAAATCTGTAGTGGTAAACAAATCCCCATAATCAATAACTTTGTAAGTCTTTGAAATTTTATTCTGACCGCTTTAGTTTTGCTGGAATTGCTTAGCCGAAGGTACTTGACCGTGCAACCTCAGCAGATCACGAGTGAGTCAAACTCCGGATACTTGTGACATCTTTCAGTTTAATATAGCTGCGGAAATGAAGAAGTATAAACCGGAGCTGCTCCGGGTAGGTGAAACCCATTCAACTTCAGCTGGACAGAAAAGATTAGATTCAAGAGCAGTTTTGCACTCTGGTCATGAAGAAGAAAATTCCCAGTAAACAGAAGCATGCTAATCACTTATAAGATGTTAGTCTTATGGCTTCAGGGTCGTCAATACACTATTCTAAACGAATAAGGAGGTAATCACTGTGAATGTCATCCATTGCAATGCACCACCAATCATAACAGCGAAGACGATCGCGATCAGTTTTATGAGAGCCTAAAACTATCCGGGTGAACACGGGCAACAGGTTTAATGCCTTACAAGATCTATTCAAAGAAGATGAGACTACAATAGAGGACAACTGGAAATGGATCAAATAAGCACTAGCTTCAACCTGCCAGTGGATTCTGGGTGGAAAGAAGTATCATCACAAAGAATGGATCACTATCGGAACCGTTTGCAGGTTTCGAATAAGAATGAACAAGAAGACAGCTGCTAATAACAGTGATACATTTTTTATTCACGCTCCACTTTCGGTAATTCAGAATAAACATCAACTTGTTTTATGTTGGGCGACTGATTTGTGTGCTAATAGTTTGCTAAGGAGTAGTGAATAAGCTGACGTTTGCTCATCAGGTCTGAAATTTAATGGCATTGAGTAAAAGCTAAGTCAGAACTTTATGGGTATGTCCATGAAATAAGTAGTCTACACATCTCAATCACTTAGTCTACTGTATCATCATCAATGAGCCTTTATACAAGCACTGACAACTGCTCATATAGACACGATATTTTCCCTCTAGACTAGCAACTGAATAAACGGGCGATATTTATCGCCACTAAGCCTACATTATTCGGTATCTCCCATTTTCTATTATTGTCGCCTCATTTTTTCTCACCCAGCGATACTTTCTTCAAACCTCCTACGGAACTCAGATGATACCCTCTACAACTTCCACCAAACTAACAACTTCTTAATTAAGAAAGTTTCCAACATCACAGTAGAAATGACACATACTGTTTTCAGACCAACTCAACAGGAAAGACCAACTGTTTTTCAAGTATTACTTAAAATCACGAAACTCCAAGTGAATTGATTTCTTTCTACAATTGGGTCATACAAACACTGAACGAATTGCTACTTTACATGGAAGATCATTAAGTGAGGGCTTCTTCTATCCCGTTTTAAACCATTTGAGCACTCTGGATATTCGACAAGATTTGTGTTGAGCTCTTAGCGCGCTGCTTTAGACTGCTGCGCAACGAGATGTCTTACTCTGAAGCAGATGCAGTTAAAAAGTTACAAAGTCTAGATAACTCTCAAATTTCGGTAGAAAGTACATCTCAGTGGTTTCTAAGTAATAAACAAATGGCCAAGGATTTGGTCAAGCTCTGGTTTAAAGAGTTTCGTAAAGGTAATTCATGGTATAAAATTATTCTTTAACTAAGCTGCTCCCAAGAAGAAAATCGCTTTTCTGCATCTGGCTAACGATGTTATACAAAGGGGCATAACTACAGCTCCTCAGTTCAAGAAATTGTTCGAGCCAGTTTTACCTACGGCATTTAAAGAGACATCAAAGTGAGTTTGCTAATTCTAGTTTCCGTTCCGATAAGCTTGAATTTTCTATCCTGATTTCGTTATATTCAGAAGCTTTCTTATCGTATTTTCTCACTTCGCACATCTTATATCTATGTAACAGTCACCAAAAAAGCAGCCAGCTGGTAATGAGGCATCTGTCTCTCTGTTTGGTGCTTTATAGAATAATTGCGGGAATTCGACTCACCAGTCAAATACTTGCTCTCTTTCTACGCCTTTAAGAATATCCATTGTGAAAGAGCCTATAGCTTTCCAAGCTGGTATGGATATCACAATGTAATTCTTGTCTCCAATTGAATATATTATACACAATTAAAACGAAATATAAACTCCGTTAATGACTAAATATAGTGCTCAGGTAAAGGATTGTGTACTTCCAGTTGGTTACCCTTGCATCATATTGTAAGGATTTCCCGTACATCACATCCGACCTAGTTATGTAGAATTTAATTATCTCGTAACTATACGATCGGAATAACGTTAAATCTCAAACAGTGTTTTCAATTTCCATACTTATAAGGTGTAATTTTAAACCAGTCTGCCGTAAAAGCAAGTAGGGTTTGTGTGACAAAACGTTCAAATTCTGCCGTGAGGTCGAAGGTATCTACATTTCTGCTATTATTTTTGGTATATGTCATCCAACATCAACTACCAGATTCTTGCACACTAACAGCAGATAAGTACGATAGCGATATACTCACGTTTAACAGCTGTAGTACTTCATCGTTACTACTCCCGATATCACACTACTAAAGTACCCTTATCATCCTAACCATATTTGGTCTAATCATGCTTTACATACGTTACTTAAAATCGTCACTCAGTAATTCTATCACACAACGAATACTTACACTGTAGGCTTGCTTTGTCATTTGTACATATGAAAAGTTAGATTAGTACCTAAGTATTAGTTTATTTTGTACATTCGTGTTATTGTTGCCCATTAGCTGTGTCTTGGTCTATTGTATACTTTCTTTTGTATCATTGGTCAGGCGAATAGATTTTCTGTTTATCTGATTAATAATTAATTTTAGAGTCCAGCGTCATTCAGTGCGCTCATCTGTCGCTCATCTTTTAATTGTATGGGCTACTCGTCGAGTGTATTCTAAGAGTTTTCTTAGACAGTTACGTTTTATATGCCAACGAGCTGTCGCTGAAGCAGATACGCCAGATGCTAGTGAAGAGATCGTGAGTTCATCCTACTAAGTGAAATATATACCTATATAATCGTTTATTTCTACCCGTGTACATTTTAAAAGTCTAAATCTGAGGTTAAAATTGTTTCACTTTATTCCCTACATTTAGATCAGATTTGGTTAGTCCTAGCTTACAATCACAACAACACAGATATGACATTTACCTTTATCCCGTAATACTTATTACTTAGAACTCCACATCGTTAATTGATAGTTTTAATGTAATTAGATACCCAAGCATAACCTGATGCATTTGGTTCTAAGCCTTGCTTTTTGTGTTGCGCTTGGTAACTGTTCAGCTGCTCAGACCAGCGATGTTTAAAATTTCGTTTTTAAATATGCTTCTTGAACTTGATCATATCTCACTTAAAGTCTTCAGTTAACTCCCTAAAAAGCCCTGCTACTATTGCAAGTTCATAAAGCCCGTCATTTGGCTTGTTTTGCTCATACACTAAAAGTTACACCTGTGTAACACAGTTTGTTATAAAGGTTGTGGCTGTCAAAGACATTGATCTTTTTTCCCATATCTAGAAAGAGGTCGAATTTCTTAACTGTCGTTTATGGTTAGATTCTACTTTACTCCCTACAGTTGGTTTACAAATGATCGAGTGCACACTTGGGTAGTCTGATTTTGCGGATACTCATAATAATCTAGTAGTGTGTCAGTGGTATTTACCTATCTGAACAATTACACTACCTCTTGTCTTTTCGTGACATATTTCATGCATCTGTTAGGTCATTGATACACCTCTAAAACTTCTAGACTTTGATTGGTTCAAATGTTCATGTCTAACCGGTGTTTAACTGACAATAAATTCCAGACATCTGGAGCACCTACAAATATAGAAGTTCCATAATGTCCCCTGGTCCGATTACTTGTATAGTATAGCTGCATAAATCATTGTACATCTCTATACTGACGGTAAACTTGATAGAACCGACCTCCTGGTATCACTTTCTTATTTTGGTTTAAATCTCACTAGGTTGAAACTTGTCGTAACCTAGATCTTCTATTTGACGTGTGTATATTTTATTGCTCTCGTTTTTATTAAGATAATGGGTGGTTTTATTTGGATTCGTGCTGGAGTTTAACTGACCGCTTAGCATTGTAACGAATTATCCGCTGTTTATGTCTGATGGTGCAGTAGTTTAAACGTAGTTTTTCAATGAATACATGTATAATATCTAGTTGGATATATCGATTCTTCCCAGCTTTGGAGCTATTTTAATAGTACTACTACGCATACATTATTAATAATGGCTTCCGCTTTTTGACAGTTCCATAGATTATGGATCTGACAATGTACGCTCATGGATTTTCACCAGTGAAATGTAAAACTCCCTTTTTACATAGTGTAAATTCATCTATAATAATTATTCATCTTTGTTATTTTCGGCACAGAAACGTAACATCATTGCTGCATCACCATTCGCTTTCTCATTCACAGCAGTTTTGACAAATTCATCAGGATTATCAGGGAATAAAGAATCATCCGTTGCTAGTAATAATCTTCATACACCCAAATTAATTGACAATAACAAAGTGAATCGTAAGCGACACCGTTCTTCAAATACGAAAGACATCTCAATGGCTCCAATATGCTTTGACCCTAAAAATTATGGAGATAGTAACATGTCGCGTAATTCAATTTCTGCATTCCGTGAAGAGTTAGACCTTGAACTACAAACTGAGGCTACCGAACCTCCAAAGGTATGTTGTTTTGATAACCATCAACTAGCGTACTTAGTTTTAAACCGAAATCATCTCATGACTGATAATGTGACCTGCTTCGGTTTGGGCATATGTATGCATATTCGTATATGTATTCGGTGCACCTTTATACCAATATTCATGTGTTCGAATAATAATAATAATAATAATAATAATAGGACTGACGATATCAACTGACTGCTTACATCTAATTATGTAATGTAAAGTCCGGACGCGCGAACTAAGTGGTTAGTTGAGTCTCTGAATCAACAAGTTGGCAGTCCCTGTCATCAGTCATATCCAGTGTAGAACATGGCACATATATGTATTAGTCCAGGTTCCCGACATTTTAATAAATAAATAACACTTAAAAATATTTCGCTAAGTTCTCGTCTGAAGGATAAACTCTACAAAGTAATAATTAATGGTTACATGTAAACAATTTTTTCATATGTGCATTTATTTATTTGTTTAACAGAGTTAATGTGAGCTGATTTTCTACAGTTGTATGTCGGATTTAAAGCCTAAGTCTTACAAACGTGTCACTTCAGAAACCACACATATCAAATATCATATAGACTTCATGGCGTAGGATGATCCTTTTACCGGCTAAAAATATCTATGCACTACTAAGCAAATCTCCATAGACATATCACTTGTTATAAAATATTCGCGTATTCAGTAACAGTCATAGTTATTGTTTTATTAGTGTTATTTATTATTTGAACACATAAATATTGGTACAAGGGGGGGTTAAAGCGCCGGACATTCGCTTTTCGTCCTCTCGTTTTCGTAAACAGCACCCCCACCACGAGAAGGCAGTGAGTAGGACTTCCCTGGCAGAGGCTGTATACGCGTGGCCATGTGAGAGCATTTCGAGAGGGAGGGCGGGCCCACCCCAGTCTCGGCCATACCAGGACATATGATTTTGTTGTGACGTGCGGTGCCCCGTAAGTGGATCCTCCGTACCCACCAACCCGGTTCACGTCCTGGACATTCTCTTTTCATTCTCTCGATTTTGTAAACAACGCCTCGCCACAAGTCATTGTGTAGGACTTCCCTCATGCATCCATGTGTAAAAAAACACTGATCAATGTTGCACTTGAGTATTTGTTAAGGGTAAATATATATGAGTGGTGGAAGAACTTGAAAGAATATTGTGTTTAATCCACGTAAAAACTAGAATCAATCACGTTATTTATTTATTTATTTATTTGAACACATAAATATTGGTACAGGGGGGCACCAAATATATATGCGCCACACAAAACAATGATAATTTGAAGAGAAGGAGAAAAGAGAAAAAAAAAGTAATGAACGTGGGGAATTATAAAAAAAAAGGAGAGAGAGAGAACAATGGTGGGGGAAACGGAAAGGTACAATCAGAAGAGATCTTTCAGTTAAGGAAGATACAAACACTTTTTATGAAGAAAGTAAAAGAAGGTTACAGCACGATCGCCACTGGCTTCTATTCTTAGCCATATCTGATAACGTCTCTAGCCACTGCGTTACACCGTCTCTCGGACCCCAACCAGGGAGTCGTGAAGGACCAACAGAAGCTAGCCCTTTGCAGCTTTCTTTCATACCACGACACCATGTCATATACTGACCACCTCTCCGCTTTTTCCAACCAGTCCCAGAGTCGGCAAATAATGCACGACGTGGAATTCTCTGGGACGACATTCGTAGAACATGTCCAAGCCACCGAAGTCGGTGTTTCAAGATGGTGACACCAATTTCATTATCGTCTCTGTGACCGAACACTCGATGCCGAACCTCTGCATTACTGACATGGTGTTGCCACTGGATGCCAGCAATCCTTCGGAGACAGCGATGATTGAACACAGAGAGTCGTCTAACATCCTCAACTCGGAGAGGCCAGGTTTCAAAAGCATAGAGCAAAACTGCTCTCACCGTCGCGTTGTAGATCCGACCTTTTACAGCCAGACTAACATCACGAAGGCGCCGAAGATGGCCCAGATTGGCATAAGCCGCTCTGGCTTTCACTATACGTGCATTGACCCATCACTCACACCACCACCAGCATATATGCAGCTACCTAGATACACGAACTTCTCGACTACTTCTATCTGCTCACCGTCCAGAGTGAGTACAGGATAGAATCCTGCCAGTCTTGTAGGAGTACTTTGCACTTCGAAGGTGCGAAGCACATACCATACCTACGGACATTGATTGCCAACTGATTAAGTGCGGATTGCATGGCTTGAACATTCTCGCACAGTAAGACAATATCATCCGCATACTCAAGGTCGAGAAGTCTTTCTCCAGGCAACAGATCCACACCACCATTACTTACATCCATCAGAGCTGTTTCCAGAATGTCATCGATGGCAAAGTTGAAGAGGAATGGTGAGATTGGGCAACCCTGCCTAACTCCATTGCTTGAATGGAATAGTGGAGAAAGGTGGTTGTATGCCCTGACTCTGCCTGAGGTGTTTGTGTATAGGGCTTTTAGGATGTTAATAAACTTCTCAGACACACCCTTCTTCAATAGACAATCCCAGAGAACAGTTCTGTCCAACGAATCGAAGGCAGCCCTGATATCAAGAAATATTACGATTGTTGGTTTTTGATAAGTATGGCGGTGTTCTAACACTTGGCGGAGAGTGAAGATATGATCAATACATCCTCGACCAGAACGAAACCCAGCCTGCTCCTCGCGAGTCAATCATTCTCGGGTTCTGAACAACCTACGAAGTATGACGGAAGCCAATAGTTTGGACGCAATCGGAAGTAGACTTATCCCCCGATAGTTGTTACAGGAAGAACGTGAACCCTTTTTAAAGATAGGGACAACTATCGACTCATTCCATGACGTTGGTACACACTCTCGTTCCCAGACCTTTGTAAACAACGTCGTCAGTCCCTTAGTCAGAAAGTCACCACCATCTTTAAAAAGAGCCGGAGGTAAGTCGTCTGGGCCCGGTGATTTGTAACGTTTCAAGAGTTGGAGTTCCTTGCGGACTTCCGCCTCATTTGGTGGATCAGTCGTCACCGGCCATAGAGGGCAGGACAGTCTGACCGATGTTGCCGGAGCAGCAGGACAGTTGAACTGCCCTTCAAAGAATTCTGCCCATCGTCCAAGACGTCGATGGATGTTAGTGATTGGCGCTCTGTCATCCTCGCAGATTGTTTCGCTCACACCAGACTTCTTGCTGCCAGTGGCTCGGATGAGTTGGAAGAGCTTCCGGTAGTTACCAGATGCAGTTGCTGCTTCCAGCTCATTAGCACGCTCCGACCACCAGGCTTCTCGGTCTTTACACAAGCTTTGCCCGATTTCATTACGTAACGTCCTTCGTCTGTTGTCAAACTCACGGTCACCCGGAGTAGACCGACGGGCTTCAATCAGTTGTAAGGAACCAGAAGAAACCTAGTGCTTGTAAGCGGGACGTTTCGCGAACCCACAACAGACTGTACCCGCCATTTTCATGGCGTCATGCAATTGCAACCAATGCTCATCTATACTTTTCGGTGGAATGGTAGCTAGCCTAGAAGCTAGCTCGGTTCGGTACATACTAGCAACAGAAGTTGCAGCCAGCTTGCTAACATCAATCCTTTGGTGGCGGTCACTTCGTTGTCCACTGAAAAGTAAGGTAAGATTGGCGCAGACCAGAGCATAGTCAGATTCCAGATATGTACTCCAAAAGGAGCGGCAGTCTTGTACACAACCACGCCAGCGGTAGCTGATCGCGATGTGATCAATCTGTATCCAGGCTTGAGATGTAGAAGGGGGACGCCAGGTGGCACATCGGCGATGACTGTGCCGTAGGCGGTATAAAAAAGGACTCGTAAAGCCTCCCTTCAGATTACATATTCCGATACACCTATTATTATGGCCTATTATTTTCTCGAACGTAAAAATACCTTATAATGTGATGTTCATTCTTAGAAAAATATTTTTTAAGTTTTTTCTATCTTTAGGTCAGTGAACTTATTCAACTTTTAGAAACTCTTCAATCAGCTGCTTCTGCTGATGCTGCTACACGCCGTGAAATAGCACAATTCCCGCCGGAAGTTTCTGATCCAAATAAAGCAATGGAAATTATGAAGTCATGTAAGATTTTTTTCATCCGTATGAAGATATATATATACTACTGCTTATTTCAAAAACCTATTGATTGTTTGATTGCTTAAGATATTGCACTTCATCTTCATAATAGTAACATAGACTATTGAGAAAGATTTGTGTAGCTATAAGTCTCGAATTTTAGACTTATCCCTTTGATTTGATAGAAAATGTCAACTATATCATGAATTCTAAATGACTAACAAATTGAGCTACTATGAACTGAATTCAAGTGTTTAAATTATTAACAACGGCGTATGAATAGCATGATTCATTTGATAAAACCATTTGCAACTGTCTAGCCTTTTAGCATTTTCCTATTTTCATTGCTAAAATATTCACTTAATCAGTTCATTAGATTTTGTTTTTCTGATAGTTTCTTCTAAGTAATCTTACTTGGAACTAAATATGTACTCAAAAGGCTGTCTTCACTTTTTGTAATACATGTATGTGGCTCATTATTAAATAATTAGTACAGACCAATATTCGGTCATAGATACCTTCAAAGCATTACTTGTGTATACTGGCATCGCCGAGTGAACAATGCTGAGATTAGACGCAGAATACTAGGTAGTGATGGCAAGTCATTTCAAAAGATAACAAATCTTCATCGATTTTGGTGGTTGAGACATATTTACGTTATGCCCAACCACCGCTTACCTTGTGAATGACATGGCTAAAAATCGTTTGCAATGGCGCAGGTGCATCCACTCTCTGTGTTCTCCCAAACTCTAATCTTCTGAATTCTCCATGTCCTTTATTTTCTTTCCAAATATATTCCACTGGACTATACTCCTTAAATAACATCATCAAACCTTAACGTTTCCTGTCACTACTTATACTTTCACTACTCTGCCACTACGGGATTTGAGACGATAACTGAATCTCTGTGCTAATTTGGTATGGCAACTCGAACTGATGTACGTACGTACGAAGTTCCACGTTGTTTCTGACTGACCGCTTACCTTGACGCTCTCTGGTATTGGACTAGGTTTGAAGAAAGCTAGAAGCATCCAGTCCAAGATATAACATCAGTGAGTGAAGACATTGTCTGTTGAACTGGCTCGTGTTGGTAGATTCAGACTACCTGTCTCAGGTCCTTGTGATTATCATAACAAATCGCTGAAGACTTTTAAGGTGGTGGTTAAAGGTAGTTGACCTTACTGCTCAACATAGTGTACGCGATGTCAAGTTACTTAGAATAGTGGCCACGTTGCAACTTGCTAGAAAAAATTTGATTAGCACTGAAAAGGAGTTGTCATTCATGGCATTGGTCACTTTTCAGTGATTAACCAACTTTAGATAACTCTTCCTGGAGTCCCTTTGAGAGCCCCCAAATGCCCTGGTACGGCCGAGAGTGGGGGGAGTCCGCTCCCCCTCTCGAAATGCTCTCATATGGCCACGCGTATACAGCCCCTGCCAGGGAAGTCCTACTCACTGCCTTCTCGTGGCACAGGTGTTGTTTACGAAAATGAGAGGACGAAAAGCGAATGTCCGGCGCTTTAATCGGATCCCAAACCAATGGTGCACATGGGCTCCAGTATCCGGAAGGGACAAATGGCGTATGAACCAATCATTGGTCACCGGCTACCATGGGACTGCATCTCCTCACGATGCTCCACTGCCTTGTGGATCAGACATTCAGGTCGAAGGCTCGGGGTGTGGCCCCCTAGGAAAACCACCTGCTTCGGTTTGGGCACCCGAGCAGTATCACAGCCCTCACATACATATCAAATGAGATATGTGTGGCGCATATGTATTTGGTGCCTTCTTGTACCGATATTTATGTGTTAAAATAAATAAATAAATTTGAGGGCTATTGCCGGCCCCAAGCCCGGATAAAAGAAGGGGGTTGGGCATAGGGTTAGCAACCCCATCCGGTAGAAAACTAACTCGCTAAAAAATGCTAACCGGAAAAAATTATTCAAACCATTTAAACTCTGCCCTGGGAGTCAGAATTTCTTCATCTAGAAGAGTTATGACGCCTCATGATGAAAGCCGAGTTCCTTCGGAAGTCACGGGGCCGATGCCTCTTCTGAAAACCAGAGCAACCATTTATTTAGGTACATGGGATGCTCGTACAATGTGGTAAACCGGGAGAGTCTTCCAAATTGCTGCAGAAATAAGGAGATACAACCTAGAGGTGCTTGAGACCAGTGAAACACATTGGACGCAAGTTCGACAACAACGACTAGCTTCAGGGGAGCTGCTGTTATACTCCGGACATGAAGAAGATAATGCCCCACATACACAAGGAGTTGCATCGATGCTGTCCAAACAGGCACAAAATGCACTTATAGGATGGGAATCTCATAGCCCAAGGATCATCAAAGCCTCCTTCAAAACCAAGAAAACGGGGATTACAATGAACGTCATCCAATGCTACGCGCCTACCAATGACTACAACGAAGACGCTAAAGATCAATTCTACGATAGGCTGCAGTCAATCGTCGAGAAGTGCCCAACAAAGGATTTGACCATTCTGATGGGAGATTTAAATGCCAAGGTTGGAATGGACAACATCGGATATGAAGACATCATGGGACGACTCGGACTGTGAGAAAGGAACGAAAATGGTGAGAGATTTGCAAACCTATGTGCCTTCAATAAACTGGTCATAGGCGGGACAATATTCCCACATAAACGCATTCACAAAACTGCATGGACTTCACCGGATCACACTACGCAAAACCAAATCGACCATATCTGTATCAACAAAAAGTTCAGGAGGATTATGGAGGACGTGAGAACTAAGAGGGGAGCTAATATAGCATCAGATCATCACTTGCTGGTCGCCAAGATGAAATTGAAGCTCAAGAAGCACTAGACAACGGGGCGGACAATACAAAAGTTTAATACGGGAGATAAAAAAGGCAATCACTTCAACATGTCATGAGGTTCTGGGCCAATAGAAGCACTATCACAAGGAATGGATCACGGTTAATACACTGGATAAGATTCAATAAAGGAGAAACAATAATGTAGCAATCAATACCAGCAGAACAAGAGCAGAAAAAGCCAAGGCACAAGCTAAATACACAGAAGTAAACAAGCAAGTGAAGACGAGCATTAGAACCGACCAACGTAAATATGTGGAAGATCTAACAATGATGGCGGAAAAGGCTGCAAGAGAAGGAAACATGAGACAATTGTATGACATAACAAAGAAACTCTCTGGAAATCACCGTAAACCAGAACGACCAGTGAAAAACAAGGAAGGCAAGATTATCACCAACATTGAAGAACAACGAAACAGGTGTGTAGAATACTTCAAAGAATTGTTGAATAGATCAGCCTCACTGAACCCACCCAACATCGAAGCAGCACTCACGGACCTCCCAATTGGTGTTGGCCCACCAACAATTGGAGAAATCAGTATGGCCATCAGACAAATCAAGAGTGGCAAAGCACCAGGACCAGACAACCAGCAGAGGAACTGAAAGCAGACGTAGCGGTAACTGCAAGGATACTCCACATTATCTTCAATAAGATTTGGGATGAGGAACAAGTACCAACAGACTGGAAAGAAGGACTTCTGGTCAAAATACCAAAGAAAGGCGATCTCAGCAACTGTGATAGCTACAGGGGAATCACTCTTCTCTCAATACCAGGAAAAGTCTTCAACAGGGTATTGTTAAACAGGATGAAGAACTCCGTAGACACCCAACTTCGAGACCAACAGACAGGATTCCGTAAGGATCGATCGTGTACAGGCCGAATCTCAACTCTACGGATCATTGTGGAACAATCAATTGAATGGAATTAATCGCTCTACACCAACTTCATTGACTACGAAAAAGCATTTGATAGCGTGGACAAAACAACACTATGGAAGCTTCTTCGACACTGCGGCATGCCTCAGAAGACACTCAACATCATACAGAATCCCTATGATGGATTAAACTGCAAAATCGTGCATGGAGGACAGTTGACATAGTCGTTCGAAGTAAAGACAGGTGTCAGGCAAGGTTGCTTACTCTCACTCTTTCTCCTGGTGATCGACTGGATCAACACTGAGGGGAAGCGTGGGATACAGTGGACATATAGGATGCAGTTGAACTATCTAGACTTCGCAGATGATCTGACTCTTCTATCGCACATGCAACAACAAATGCAGGAGAAGACGACCAGTGTAACAGCGGCCTCAGCAGCAGTAGGTATCAACATACACAAATGGAAAAGCAAGATTCGCCGATACAACACGGCATGCAATAATCCAATCACAATTGACGGAGAAGGCTTGGAAGATGTGAAAACCTTTACACATCTGGGCAGCATCATTGATGAACACCGTGGATCTGATGCAGATATGAAAGTTCAGATCGGCAAAGCAAGAGCAGCATATACACAACTGAAGAACATCTGGAACTCAAAACAATTGGCAACCAACACCAAAGTCAGGATTTTCAATACAAATGTGAAGACAGTTCTACCGTATGGGGCGTAAACCTGGAGAACTACGAAAGCCGTCATCTAGAAGATACAAGTGTTTATTAACAGTTGTCTACGCAAAATACTTCAGATCTGTTGGCCGGACACTATTAGCAACAACCTACTGTGTGAGAGAACAAACCACATCCCAGCGGAGGAAGAAGCGCTGGAAGTGGATAGGACACACATTGGAGAAAGCACCGAACTGCGTCACAAGACAAGCCCTCTCGTGGAATCCTCAAGGCCAAAGGAATACCAAAGAACACATTACGTCGAGAAACGGAAACAGACATGAGAAGAATGAACAAGAATTAGATAGAACTAAAAAGGAAGTCCCAGGACAGAGTGGGTTAGAGAATGATAGTCGGCGGCATATGCTTCATTGGGAGTAACAGGCGTAAGTAAGTAAAATCAACTTTAGATGATATGGAACAGAATCACTCACAATGATTCTGATGCACTCATTTCTTCCTTTAGATGTCAAGTCTCAAAATTACTTTATACTTACTCCATGAATTCATTTTTTTCGAACCTTGTCTATACCTGGTCTACCACTG